AGTGTCGATTCAGTTCAGTTCAATATCAGTGTTAAGGCTGTAAACTGTGAAGAATATTTTAGTAGAGAACTGTTACTAAAAACTATTTTCTAATATAGAACTTTGTTCAAGTCAGTAATGTGATTTAAGGGGTGTTACTACATAGGAGGCAGTGGATACCTTGTTAGCCTCAAACCTGTAAACCTTCAAAGGTCTGTTATTCTCCTATAATGAGTCAGCAATAGCAAAGGGGAGGAGGGGGCAATGTTTACATTACATTGCATTGTTTACATTCAGAATATAATCAATTGCGATTTGCAATGTAGTATATAATGCTTTATGTGAGTGTACAGTATGCGAGTAAAGTTGGATATACTTTAGTGGCAAATTGGAGTTAATTATTAAAAAAAAAAAAAACTTTAAAAAATGATTAGAGGTCAAATATGATATAAATACTGTTCGGTTTCTGGCACAAACCAATCGTTTCGTGTCTTAGGACATCAATGTGTCGTCACGAGCCGCAGGGTTTAATTTGGATTTGTCTGTGCATGTTTTTTTTACTCTCATAGATTTTGTTACCATTGCCATGCATTATACGACTGATAGACTGCAACGGCTGGAGTTAAAAATCATCAAATGTGTTCTACTGAAGAAACAAAGTCACCTACATCTTGGATGCCCTGGGGGTAAGCAGATAAACATCACATTTTCATTTTTGGGTGAACTATCCCTTTAAGAGCTTAACTGAGACGTTAAATGAACATCATGCCATAATACTTAACACAAATGCATAACACAAATTACATATTACACACAAACATAATTTTTTTTCTTCTGATAATTAAAATAAAAAAATAAAACAAACAACACTTGTGCTCTTCTGAAATTGAAATTAATGTTTGTGTGCAGGGACGTGCACAGACATTTTGAGGGGCAGGGGCTCAAGTGGAAAAAAAGGGCACTTCTCATATTTCTTTTAATTTTTTTCTAAACAAAACGTAAAATATATTAGGGGTGTGCGATATTGAAAAAAAAAATCTTAATATTTTCTGGGATTTTATCAATAACGATAATTAGATGATATTTTGCTGAGTGTGTTATTGTGCTGATATCTTAAGGACTGATGTGATCAGCTGACTCCTAAAATTGTGATATTCTGCATATTCTGTGTGGCGGTCAGTTCACAGCAGTGATAGAAATGAATCTTTTCTAACAAGTTTAAATGGATTTTTACCTTTTATGGTCATTTTTACCCTTTTTTTAAGCCCTTTTTTTTCAAAGTGTGCATCATCTTTTCAGTCAAATTCTTAAATTGAATCAGTCAATTAGAATAATAAGTAATTTGGGCTGTTACCAAGCAAATTAAATCAGTATTGACAAAATTAATCTTTGCAATGCAGAGGAAACACAGAAGCTGCATCTGAAGTGGCATTTAGATGTGTTTACACACTGTTTAATGCAGGACATTAATGTTTTAACCTGCAGTTACAAATGCATTAATACTGTTTTGATATTTTAAACATAAAAATATTTATGTTGAATACTGATATTTGAAATTATAAAAAAAAAGAAGATACTTTAAATGTGAAATTAAAACCGCCAGTAGGTGGCAGCAAGTCACTGTTAATAAGAGAGTCATTGCGATTGAACTAATCATTTAAACGGTTGATTCCTTCAGAAACGAAACAGCGTCATGTTGCTCAGAGACACAAATTGGAATTATATTTGTTGGCGAAATAGAGCAAAAACAGTCAATATTGTGTCTAAAACGTAAGTGTCTTAATATTAAATTCTTGCTTACTGAACTGCTGCTGTATATAATCAATATTACATTTGCGTGATACTGATTAACTATATTAAATGAAATGTATACATTTCTGCCCCCATATCTTGAATCTCCTGATCATTGACAAGTCGTAATTACGACGTCAGGTGCGTTCAAGTCAGTTTAGTCGGCACAAGATGGCGGTGTACCTTCTGTTAATAAATTACAAGAAAATACAACAGGGTCTGCATTTTTTTACTTGGATTTCATTAACTAAGATACTTTAAATGTGAAATTAAAACCGCCAGTAGGTGGCAGCAAGTCACTGTTAATAAGAGAGTCATTGCGATTGAACTAATCATTTAAACGGTTGATTCCTTCAGAAACGAAACAGCGTCATGTTGCTCAGAGACACAAATTGGAATTATATTTGTTGGCGAAATAGAGCAAAAACAGTCAATATTGTGTCTAAAACGTAAGTGTCTTAATATTAAATTCTTGCTTACTGAACTGCTGCTGTATATAATCAATATTACATTTGCGTGATACTGATTAACTATATTAAATGAAATGTATACATTTCTGCCCCCATATCTTGAATCTCCTGATCATTGACAAGTCGTAATTACGACGTCAGGTGCGTTCAAGTCAGTTTAGTCGGCACAAGATGGCGGTGTACCTTCTGTTAATAAATTACAAGAAAATACAACAGGGTCTGCATTTTTTTACTTGGATTTCATTAACTAGCTGCGTAACAAGAACATGACCAATTTAAGTTTATAGGACAACTAATCTATCAATTTAAACAAAAATTTACCGTCAACTACAGACGTTGCATCCATCAATTCCGCCATGTTTCTCATTGACACGCCCCCAACTCGGGACTTAAAGAAAATTTCGAGTTTCCCACTCGTAATAACGACTTTGTGGTGGCGTTCATGTGCGTTCAACTCGTAAATACGATCTATCCGACATGACTTGAACACACCATTAGCTAACTTACATGGTAGCTCTCTTATGAGTCATGGATGTTAGCAAGGCAATTTAACTATATTTGCCTTTTGGATAATTAGCTGTAAATTCTAGGCACAGGTAGCTTAGTCTTTTATTCATCACCACTCACCTTCACAGCTTCACTTCTGCGGCTCTCTGTCTGCGATGTGCCTATCAATGTGCGCACTACACTGCTGTGCTGCAGAGATGCGGAGAACGACATCGGAACTCAACGGAGTTAATAAACCCGACCTGATATTTCGATTTTTTATTTGTTTGACATTGAAAGCTGTGCGCAAACAGAAACACACACACGCTCACATATATTCATTTATTTAAAAAAAACTCCAAGAAAAAAGGACTCTTTCTCTTGAGGAAGAAAAAGGGCAGGTGCTCAAGCCCCATTTGATGTCTATGTGTGCACGTGCCTGTTTGTGTGTGTTTCTTTCCCATGCTTGTCAAGTGTCACACAAAAGGAGGTTACCTATTGGTACAAATCATGTGGTCAGTCCTAAACTTACTGGCCATACTAGGGTTAAAAGGAAAATGGTAGTCCTGCATCTGGACAGACCATCACTCTCTAATTTAAATGCTTTAAAGAAATTGAAACATTTTTGTCAGTTTTGCCTTAAACTTAAGTTATCTGTGTAATGTTTGGAGGAAAACTCTTTGAAGGTATAAATCCACCAAAATATAAAAATTCTCATGCCGTCTCAGATGTATTATGATGATCTTTCATCAGATGAAAGTTTTTTATAAATGTTATCCATCTTTCGGAGTCCGTATAATTCATGGCAAAAACTGACACTTCAAAAACCACACAAAATGAGGAATCAATGTCTTGTGAGAAAAATACTATTTTTTTAAACTATAAACTTCTTGCCAACTGTCATATGTTCATGAGCTGACACTCAACACACACAAGAGCACGCTGTGAAGTGTGATGAAAGTGTGTTGTGAAACACAGACGAGACGTGATCTGTCATTCTGTCTTTGAATTTTACAACATGCTTATATTAAAGGGGTGGTTCAGTTTTTTTCTAGGCTCGATTGTGTTTATGAGGTGCAGTCTAACATGTTAATGCTTTGTTTAAAAAAAACACATTATTTTTCACATAATTTATCTTTATTCCACACCGCTCTGTCCCTTCTCTGAGAAACACGCTGACCATTTCCTTCTTTTATGAAGCCCCTCCCTCAGAAATAGGCGATGGGCTCTGATTGGTTAGCTAGCCCAGTGTGTTGTGATTGGCTAAACCGCCTCTAGCGCGCGTCTAATCATCCCGCCCCGCACCTCAGCGGCATGTGCTCCAGGTGTATTGTAAACAACGGCATCGTTAATATCGCTTATCAACTTTAGCCCGATTGAGACGCAGAGGATATTAGTGAAGAGGATCGTGCAGAACCTGTGCAAGCACGGCTTTTAATGGTAGGCCTATGTTTTTGTTTGTTGTTGTCTCATACTTTTAGATACGCTGTTATTTGTAAATGCTATACGGTTTATCCTGATTAAAGCTTTGATACAGTACGGCAACTGCATGCACATCCATGTTTAACGCTTCTCATAGCTATGTGAAAATAAGTGTATAATTGTAACATTTCATTGTTGGAGCTGAGCTGAATGAGAGAGAGAGATGCAGAGCAGGTCGAGGCCAGGAACAGGATAAGAACGCTGCTTTAGAACATTGATTTCGAAACTTGTGAATCCATTAGAATCGTTAGAAGACAGAATCCCGATTCATATATGAATAGATTGTTACGTGCACCCCTAGTTTTCTCTTCCTCTTCTCTAAAGCAGCACAGCATGGCCCCGCCCCCTTTGCTGCGTGTTCCCGAGGGCGGGGTTTATCTGGGTTTGTGATGTCACAAACCCGGGAAGTAACTCGTTGTAGTCCCTACCAGCCGTCCTTGTAGGCATTACACCGCTAGAATTTTAAAAGACGATATCTCCGTTTGCATTGAACTTTCAGCTTCGTAATTTTGCAGATATTGTTTGTGCTCAAACAGCAACATTACACACTAATTAACGTTAAAAAAAGTGAAATCACAATGAACCACCCCTTTAAGCTTTTTGTTGAGCTTGTACTCATGAATGCACATATGACAGCAGCAGCAATGGTTTACAGTTTAAAGCATATGAAAAATTTACATTTTTCTCTCACATTATTCCACTTCACATGACATGGATATATTAAATTGCAAAAAGTAGTAAAATATACAGTCTCTTGTAAACTCTTTACAGTGTTTATTAATGGGTCCCTGAATGATTGCCTCACCTGCTTCATTTGTTCAAGCATCGTAGCTACATGAAGCCCATGCAACAGGTTTAACCAATAAAAATTGGCTTTACAAAACACCAATTACAGGTCAATTAATTCAGAAAGACGCATGATAAACTTTTATTACGGTCCCAATCACTGTATCCAGAGTACTTCAACAGAACTTATATGACACAGAAAGGCTGTACATGTGACTTAACTCAATCTTGTGCAGTTTCTAACAACTGAACAAAGAACTTTAGTATATAAAAATATTCCAAGCAATCTCTTTCATACATGTTTTGCGTCAGCAATCAAACAGGAAGTTGTCTGTGGACGTACAGGGCCTCTCCATCAGTCCCGCACACTAAACACTGCTCAAGCACATCGAGGCTGTTCACAGACAGTGTCTGGCTGGGCAGCACATGAGTTGCCTCCAGTCTATTTTTGCTGGAGTCCCCAGCAAGCCAGGCGCTGACCACAGAGTCATTCTCCCCTGCCAGCGGTACGCCACTATGCGAGACGACCCTGCTGTTCCAGCCCCCTGAAACAAACCAGGTATCAGAAAATGAGATGAAGATAATAAAATGAGTCAAGTCTGTGTATGTTGACTAGAATTAAACCTTCATAGTCATAGTAGCTTTAGTAGTCCATATCTAGCTCAGACCAACCGGTTTAGCTTTACTTCTTATGCATAAGTGTTATACAACTTCAGGACTGAATCCTAGAAAGTTCATTGTGTGAAATATGAGAAAAACAAACAAAGGAACAAAAGCTTTGATGAAACGGCAGCTTTATGCACCTTCAGAAGTACTACTTTTGCCTCGACCAAACCTAAGCTTAAAAAAGACACTTGTGATCACAAGAAACATGGGAAAGGGGGCGAATGAAAATACATAAAGTGGGCAGAAGACATTTTTACAGTACTTTAAATCCCTGGTCATGTACACACTGTAAAGTTTCAGGAGTGACAACCCCATTAAAATACGGGAGTGAATCCCCTAAATGATAGTTTTGTGTGTGTACAAAACGGAACTCAAAATTGTGATGACTGACACCATAGCAACGTATAGTACCCGCTATTTTTGACCAAAGAAGCCTATTATGTTTGCCGATTTTTGAACTAATCCACAGTAGACCGAGCCGTTGTGTTTTGTTCATGTTTAGAAAGTTGCTCTGCAGAGTGTGCTCATTAAGTGTTGCCATGTCCACTTACTCTCAACAACATTTGTTACACATCTTTGGGCTTGTTGTTTGGTCTCAGCTCATAAAGCGATCCAGTTTATGGAGTTAATGAAGTAGGCAGGTTGCAATATTTTGGTATGTGGCTTATTTCCAAGACGACGCGTTTGAATTTATATTTATTATGAGCTTGTGCTTTTTATACCAAGATCTGGCAACACGAATGAGTCAAAACATACCTCGTTTACTGAGATTTCTTGCACTGTGCATACAGAAGAGACAATTATGCTTCTCATTTAGATACGTCATTAACAACTAATTGCTTAGTTTGGTTCCATACACACTGCACAGGCTTTCTGCAAATGCAGTTGTCACTCCCGTACTGTTTGTGTGCAGGACTAAGCACTGACAACCAAATTTAGCTGCAGTGTGTACATGGCATAGAAGACATGACTTGGCCAGGTTTAAATGCATCTGGTTGTTAAATATGGTAACTTTCCTACTTTTCAAATGGATCTACATCAGCACGTGGAAATCTGTCACAATCATGAATGAGATGTGGATGTAGCAACTCCATCATAAATGGGAATAGTAAATTTTATTTGGGTTACACTTTATTTTAAGGTGTTCTTGTTACAGTGTAATTATACATTTAAGTACAGAGTAATAATAATTAACTACATGTGCTTACTATATGGTTAGGATTAGGGTTACTTGCATGTAATTATGCATAATTTACTGTTATTATAATAGTAAGTACAGGTATCATGTGTAACAAGTGTGTACCTTTTATTGTTTTGCAGAGACACATTTACATGGTCAAGTACAAATGCAATGCGCATACTAAATCAGATAGCAACTTTCAAGATAAAAATCAGATTGTTATTAGTATTATTATAGCTGTGATGGAGCCTTGGCTTACTCTGTAGGAGTGTGCTCATGTCTGATCCTGACGTCGTCTCCCAGTGGAGCAGAGATCCATCCTCCGAGCATGTAAATAAGTGATTGGAGTTTGATGGATGAAAATGTACTTCCCACACTGTGGAGAAAAAAGATCAGAATCAGTGGCAAAAGCTTCTGACTAATTATCAGGTTTTTGACATATTTCATGTGCATAGGATAACATTGTTCATTTTTTTGTCCTTATTATGACATAACAAATATATAAATGTATTAATAATAAATTGCTCATTTAAACTGGCCTCATTCATGAATACTGCAATACCTGTTAACTTTCTTGCCAGTGTTTAGAGTGAGAGAAGATCAATAAACTGCAATATTACGGAGGTGGAAGAAGGAGTTTTTAACAACAGTGGAAGTATGAGAGTCAAAGCATATTTATTTGTTAAAAATCTACTGAATTCAAAGTAGTGCTGGGCGGTATGACCAAAGATTCATATCACAGTATTTTTCTAAATTATACCGGTTTCACTGTATTTTTTTTCATGCATGACCGGGTGTTAACCATATTTTCCATTAACCATATATTGAGAGGAAATACTGCAGCATATTGACTTAGAATGCCCTATTTTACTGTCATGATGAGTGAATATTGTCAAAAAATACCACACTAAATAGTGACTAAACACAACCCCTTTTAATACATGTTAACCAGGAGTCACTCTCATTTATAAATCACAGCATCGTCTGATAAAATCAACATGCATCTACACTAAAGAGCGGCTATGTGGTTGTTTTGGCTAGATTACTCTCAACGCCCAGCACTAATTCAAAGGATAATTCTGTCATCATTTGCTCACCCTCAAGGTTTTCCAAACCTGTATGAAATTCTTTCTTCTTCTGAACACAAAGGAAGATATTCTGAAGAATGTTGGTAACCAAACAGTTGATGGTAGCCTCTGACTTCCATAATATTTGTATTTCCCTACTTCTATTAAAAAAAAAAAATCTAACTAGCTTCTTTTGTGCTCAACAGAAGAAAGAAGCTCACACAGGTTTGGAAAAACTTAAAGGTGAGTAAATTATAAAAGCATTGTCATTTCTGGGTAAACCATCCTTTTAAACATTGTGAGGTCAAAACATTTGAACATTATTCTTAACGTCTATTACAAGTGTTTACACAGCTCAAGCATTTTTTTTAAAGGGGTCATATGATACGATTTCAAGTTTTCCTTTCTCTTTGGAGTGTTACAAGCTCTTGGTGCATAAAGAAGATC